AATGTGGCTTATGAGGTTGTGAAACGAACTGACTGAGCCTTTGGACTGCGAAGGTAATGTCTGGCCTTGAAACCGTTAAGTATAGCAGACGCCCAATTAAAGATCTATACATAGAACCATCTTTCAATAACTCTCCCTCAAAGGAGTTTAATCGAACTTTGGGATCCATAGGGACTACAGCAGGTTTACAACCAAGAAATCCAGTGTCTTCTAATAATTGAAGTGCATAATGCCTCTAAGATAATAAATGCCAGTTTGTGATTTTGCAATCTCGAGTCCAAGGAAAAATTTAAGCTTCCCCAAATCTTTAAGCTTAAAATGACTGTGAAGAAATGATTTCAAATCTTCAATAATATTGAAATCAGAACCTGTGATGACTATGTCATCAACATAAACGAGAAGGGCGACGAATGAAGTGCTTGACGGGAATCACTTTTCCCTTATTAGAGATTTCAACTGATGAAAACCATGTAACAGAAGGGCTTGAGAAAACTTGGAAAACCATTGTCTCGAAGCCTCTTTTAAACCATAGATCGTTTTATGCAATCGGCAAACTAAAGACTCCCCCTCTCTTCCAGGCTGTCCCTGTTTTCCAGATGATAATGATGGTTTATAACCTAGTGGCAAATCCATGTAAATCTCCTCAAAGAGATCACCATGTAGAAACGCATTATTGACATCGAGCTGGATAATGTGCCATTTCTTTATAGCAGCTATGGCAAGAAGAAGTTTCACAATCACCATTTTAGCGACAGGAGAAAATGTATCTAAGAAATCCAACCCTTCTTGTGGAGTGAAACCCTTTGCAACTAGGCGTGCTTTATAACGATGCTCCCATCAGATTTATACTTAGTTTTATACAACCATTTTCAACTGATCGTATGTTTCCCTTTAGGTAATATAGTCACAGACCAAGTATTATTCAATTCCATAGTATTGAGTTAAGCAGCCATGGCATCTCTCCAATGTGCTTCTTGCACAGCTTGATGGTAAAACTATGGTTCCATGTTGGAGGAAATGTTTAGGATAAGATTTTTATGAGGTAAAGAAAATTTGGAATAAGAGAGATAGTGACTTAGGGGAAAATGATGAGAAGAAGGCAAGATGGATGAAGATGAACTTGATAGTAAATTGCAGTGAAATTCCTGTAAGAAGGGGTTTTGCAAGTTCTAAGAGACCTTCTGAGAACAGGTACAGAAGGCCTATTTAGAATAGCAGGATTAGAAAGAGTGATGTCATCAGGAATAGGAGGAAAAAGAGGACTATCAGACAGTCGATTATTTAAATCAATACTAGGAGAAGGAACATCATAATTTGGAATAGAGGAAGACACATCAGTAGGATAATGGCTATCTGTAGGTGGAATAGAAGGAGTTAAGGGAAGCACGTCAGCAACTTGATGTATATTAGTAGAAGAAATTGGTAGAACAAGATTAGGAAATGAATCGATGACCTCAGGAGTTGGTGAGACAGAATGAAAAGGAAAGACATGTTCATGAAAAATCACATCTCGAGATATAAAAATGGATTTAGAGTGTGTTTGGTAGGAATTTTTGGGGGAATAATTGATTTTTGAACAGTGATATGATGGGAAATGTGTAGTTGAAAAAGAAGAAAAAAGTATTGATGTGATGGAAAATATTATTTTATTGAAGAATATGTGGTTGAAAATGCGAATTGATTTAATATAGAAAATGAGAATCTGTACCAAACAGGCTCTTAGCAGTGATATCATATAGTCTATACCCTTTGATGCCATGGTGATAGCCAATAAAAACACACGCCTTTGCACGGGGATAGAATTTTAAACGACGAGAGGTAATAGTCGATGCAAAGCATAGGCATCCAAAAACTTTAAGGAAATTGTAATCCACTGGATCATGGTATAACAGGGTATATGGGGTTTTGTTTTGAAGCATGGGTGAAGGAGTACAATTTATCAAGTAAGTGGCAGTTAGAACACAATCACCCCAGAAAGAGATTGGCACCTGAGATTGAAAGAATAATGCCCTTGCCACATTGAGTAAATGTTGGCGTTTCCTCTCAACTACTGAGTTCTGCTGAGGGCATTTAGGGCAAGAAAACTGATGTAACACACCCTTTTGGCTGAAAAATTCAGTGAACTTTAGTTCAGGGCATTATTCGATCTGTATCAAATTGGGTTTCAACAAGCCTGAAAAACTTGGGTATAATATTATGCACATCAGATTTCTGCTTCATTAAATAAACCCAGGTGAACCTTGTGCAGTCATCAACAATGGTGAGAAAGAACCTATGACCATTACGAGTGGAAGAGCTATATGGCCCCCAAACATCACAATGGATGAGATCAAAATGATTGGATGATAAGTGATTGTTCGAAACAAAAGGCAAGCGTCTTTGTTTGGCAAGAGGACAGATATAACAGGGAGTAAAACCAGTCTTATCATTCTTCAAAAGTAACTGATCTTTTAAGATCTCCAATCTTTTAAAAGATAAATGTCCTAATCTATGGTGCCAAATATGAGAGGTCACCTTATTGATTACAGAACAAGCATGATTATTAACAGTATGAAATGAATTACAATCAGTCTTCAGTACATCAGATTTTCTTTTAATGATGTAAAGACCATCAACCATATCAGCCCTGCCAATCATCCTCCAATTGCACTGCTCGTGAATAATGCAATAATCAGTGAAAAATTTAATACTGATATCTGAATTCCTTGTTAAAGAAGTTTATGATGATCAACTTAGAAGTTTATGATGATTGAGTTGACTCACACGCAAGTTTGTCGAGCATTGGATAAGGTAAGAATTGGTTTTGGTAGCATAATAATTTAGAAACATTTTTCAAGTTATTCAAGCAATTTCTGCACATGAAGCAAAACGGCAAGGTATATAATGAGATTGGTTCTATTTTTGTTAGCTTGGTTAATTAGACAATTTTGTTCGATGATAAACATATGTTTAACTTTGGAGGTATTTGATAAGTAATATTTTACACTTATTCAGACAATTAAAAGTGTTTTGAAGTACTTTTGTCCAATTGATACTCAAATTTGATGGTATGTAATTTTTCAATAAACTAGATGTTGAGTGTCTCATGGAGAAATTAAAAGAGCGGATAAAGGTCTAAAAAGGAACTTTTTTTTTTTTTTTGAAGATGTGGACTGATGGGAATAATTAAAAGATGAAGAAACTTCAATGCAATCTATAAAGGACTTGACATGAACCAGAGAGGAAACCAGGGGCCAAATCCTATAAGGTGAAAATGTTGTGACCTACGCAAGGCCACAATGGTGCTATCACAAGGCACTGAAAGGTGTCACTAGCTAGCAAATAATTTACACTATGCGATAACAGATGAGCTTGTGTGATCGTACATGGTTGATACGGACATCAGAAATTTTATTTGCTAATTTAAGTTGGAATCTTCGTGGAACGCAATTGAACAAGGTTTAAACAAATATGGGAGGCCAATGGTATTATTCTTCATCTTGTAACTTGGAGAAAAGAGCTACAGAGAGAAAATATACAAAGCATAAGCACTTTCAAGATTCATGGCTCGGGATTGAGATTTCTTGAAAATCCACTGAAAAAATTCAAAGGACACGAAAATCTACCTTTGAATTTCTCTTAGCAGTTTGGTATTCCATGTAATTAATACACATTTTAATATGTATTTTTGTAATTCAAGGATGATGATGTAAATCGTTAGTTGATGTTTTAACTCAAAAGATTTCCTCTTTTAGTTAGCACTACGTATTCGATTGATTGATGTCAATGTTTAAAATTGTGCTTGAATATGTAAAAACGCATTCAATAGCTATATTATTTAAATAGATTGCACAAAGCCTAGCCAATTATCCCTAATGTATATAGGACTTTACATTGATTCTCAAGTAGAAGTTATACCAAATTTGAACCTCCTGAAAGTAAAATACGCAACAAATAAAGGTTGTTCATAGAGACATTTTACGTCGTATGTTAAAATAAGCTAATTCTATTTGACAGAGATTGTTAGATAATATAAGATTATCGAGGTCAATCTAAGTAGAAATTGAGTTAAATACTAAAGGTGGATTTGGATTCCTAGCACATTTTTCTTAATGAATCTCTTTCCATCCAAACTTTCCTATGCATTTAGATAAATAGATAGTCGCAGTATACTTGAGTTAAATTATAGTTACTCAAGTTCAACTACCAATTGTGTGTTTATTCATTTTCAAGCTCGAATTGATTGAACTTAACATAAAATCCAAATCATTGTGATAATAATGTTCTTCTACTCACTTTTAGTACTACTTGTCAATGAATCTGCACGCTTACATAATTTCAATTGAAAAATATCTTTATTACTTGTTTATAATACCCTGAAGAATTTTGGCTAACAGGTAGCCTGCCTAACTAGATTATATAAATGTTTTATATTTTTTTTGTTATTATATTATGTTGCTATATATTACTATTATAAAAATAATAATTATTAATTTGGCAGATAGAAATAGCTTATTACACCTATATACCACGTGGTGTGAACGTGGGAAGATTCTCCGTTAGAACTCAGCAATTATTTAATTTTGTTTTAAAGAATTTTGAAAAATATAAGAAATCACAATATTTATTGCGAGTTGCGTGTTCCATTAAGGGCAGGTTTGAGCCCCTTTTTTTTTTTGGGTAAAATGCATTTTGAAATAGTAGATTGATAGAAATTTGTGGTTAAAAATGATGGAAATTTTTTTTAGTTGTGTGTAATTTATTTTATTGAAAATTGTGTGGTTGAAAAGAAAATAGAGAAATTGTATTTAAAAAAAAAAGGGATCGTTGATTCACTGTTCATGAGTAAGCAATTCTATTTTTAACGTAGTTTATTCTAAAATTATTTAATGTTTGGTAGTCTAGAGTTTGTGAAGAAAACTTTTGATATAAATAACAATTTCTGGAGTAGAATCCAATCATACATCTTCTTCCCCTGCAATTTGCCCATCCATCTTAATTTTCCATAAACAGGCACTGAAATGGCTCCCTCTCAAATCATTCTGAGAAAAATTCTGGAAGATAGGGATTTCTGTAATCGCATAGAAATTTCACTCGATGAAAACGAAAAATTTGAGACGTTTGTTGGGCAGAGAAGACTTATTCCAATTGCCATTGCCTATATGGTAAAACTGCACCCCGGGCGGTATGGTGCCAAAGTGAAGGATATACTACGACTTCTTGAGGATTCAGCAGTCTATTGCAAGATGTTAGGGGCTCCTCTAAGGTACAGAAAATTCTTCGTGTTACTTCTGTCACTTGTGCAAGAGCTGAGGGTGTTCTTCACAATCCCAAAGCAGCAAACGTCCATTTTTGATCCTATTCCCTTTCCTAATGAAGTTGTTACGGTGTTTATCGACTTTCTCCTCCAAATTTTAGAAGAAATAATGCGTCTTGAACCATATTTCTTTGTTCCAGTCAAGTGTTCAATCAAAAATCTCCAGACAGAACTTGGATTTCTTATCACCTTTCTTGGAGATGCACCGATGCGCCTGCAGTCCACTGAGGTTAAGGTAACCAAGAATATATTGTCAGATATAAAAGTTGTTGTCAACGAGGTTGGAAGTTTCTTATATTCATTATTTTCCACGCGGGATGATGAAGTCCTGGCGACTGGAAGATTGGATCTTGCTCTTTCTGATTTCTTACCAAAGTTTGAGCTCTTGAAACCAAAGATCAAGGAGCATTGCCTCACAGTCTCGAAGTTGCCAGGTTGCGTCGCTACAAAGAGTAGTGTGGTTTCATTCTTCATTGTGGATTCCCTCCTCGATGATCTCGAGGACCTTATCAATTATAAGGCTGACAGGATTGTTGGCGTGAAGGATCAAATAATAATACTCCATGAGGAGCTGACGTTTTTGAGTTCCACTCTCAATGATATAGCTGTGACACGGCATGGGCAACTTGAAGAACTTGTGATACAAACCAGAGACTTAGCATATGAAATTGAATATGTTATCAACTCGTTTCCTCCTGTCTGGTATATAACCCTCAGGCTCCCTCAACTACTGGAGAAGATTCAGCTTATTAAGATGGCAATACAAGAAAAGATGAACAGTAGCATTGACGCTGGAATACAAGAGGAATATTCACGTGAGAAAGTACCAACTCAAGCTAAAGAACCGCCCAATTTGGAAGAAATTTTTGTCGGTTTCAAGGACGAGAAAGCCAAAAATTCTGAGCAACTCATGAGAGGACCACTACAGCAACAAATTATTTCCATCGCCCAATTTGGAAGAAATTTTTGTGGGTTTCAAGGACGAGAAAGCCAAAATTTCTGAGCAACTCATGAGAGGACCACTACAGCAACAAATTATTTCCATTGTCGGGATGCCCGGACTTGGTAAGACTACTTTAGCAAAGAAATTATTCAATGATCCTTCCATTGTTAATCATTTTCACAAATGTGCTTGGTGTGTGGTTTCTCAAACATATAAGAAGAAAAATTTATTGACTGACATGTTGACATCAACAAGACACCTTAATAGAGAAACAATCATGAAAATGGAGGAAGAAACTTTGGCCGAAGAGCTATACAAAAGTATAAAAGGATTGAGATACCTCATTGTCATGGATGATGTCTGGGACACACAACTGTGGGAAGATTTGGAAAAATATTTTCCGGATGACAAAACAGGAAGCAGAATCTTATTCACAACTCGAAACAAAAAAGTGGGTTTCAGTGGTGTAGTTAATGAACTTCCTTTCCTATCAGAAACTGAATGTTGGGAATTACTAAAGTGAAAAGTGTTCCAATCAGAACCTTGCCCTCCTGAATTGCTTGAGATTGGGAAGCAAATTGCCTCAAGTTGTCATGGTCTACCTCTGTCAGTCATTGTGATATCTTCCGTTCTTGCAAATATGCAGAAGAACGAGAGCTCATGGAAAACAGTAGCGGGAAGTTTAAGTTCACACATATTTGACAACACAAATAATTGCATCCACATACTGAAACTTAGTTATCAGCATTTATCAGTTCATTTGAAACCTTGTTTTCTATACTTTGGAGTATTTGAAGAAGACGAAGTAATCTCAGTACGAAAGTTGATATCTCTATGGGTTGCCGAAGGGTTTATAATCAAAGAAATCCACAAGAGCTCAGAGGATGTGGCGCACGATTATCTCATGGATCTAATTAATAGGGGTGTGGTACTAGTTGCTGAACGAAGATCTAATGGTGGAGTCAAAACTTGCATTATTCATGATCTATTGCATGATATGTGCTTGAGGATAGCTAAAGAAGAAAACTTTATGGAAGGGATTAAAAAGTAAGTTCTTTGTCTCTCTTCTTTCCTCTTTCACTTTCTTCTATTTTTATCTAGATTATTGATAATGTTAACAATCTTTGATGATCACACTAACGATGCTTTTGTTGCTGTTGATGAATGGATATGATTATGTTGTCACCACTTTGGTTCTGCAGCGGATCATCAACGTATGAGAATGACGGGAGTATCTATGAATGGCCATATCTTTCTTACCCAAGACCTTTTGGACCACATGTTCACTCTCAGTTGGGCCGAAGGGTCATGGATTTGTCACGATCATATTCTCTGTCATTTGATGATATAAGTAGAGGAATTGAACAGTTGGTTCACTTGAGGTTCTTGGCAGTTCCACATAAATTACCATCTATAGAAAACCTACGCAAACTAGAATATCTTCTTGTGAAGAATAAAGAACAAGTTGAAATACCAGAGATCGTTCTTACCATGAAGAATTTGAAACATCTGCATTTTAAAGGCGGTGCCCACTTCAGTGAATCTTGCCATTCGCGAGCAACTAGGGATGGGAGCTTCCAAATAAATAAACTACAATCTATTTCTTCACTTCTTATTCGTAATGAAATGGATGCAAAAGTTTTAGGATGTGCACCCAATCTCCGCAGATTGAAATGCAAGTTCATGTCTCAATGTCCTTTCCAATTCCCCATTCAACTTGAATCACTCAACGTCAGTTTCATGGACGATTTAGGTCCCAATTTTCCCTTGACTCTCAAAAAATTGACTCTATGTGAGTTTGATTTGACATGGGAAAAAGTTAGGATGATTGGGAGATTGCCGAACCTAGAGGTGCTCAAATTACGTGATGGTGTCTTCAAGGAAACAAAATGGGACACAGAAGAAGGTGAGTTTCAAAAACTAAAATTCTTCGAGCTAAAAAATGTAAAAGCTTCAAGTTGGTATGTCACTGCAGAATGGAATCCCACAAGTGATGATTACCCAGAACTAGAACGACTAGTGTTGCGAAACTGCTACTGTTTACGGAAGATCCCTTCCAGTTTAGGTTATGTTTTAACCTTGCAGATGATTGAGATATATGGAAGTGCGCAATCTATCGCAGAATCTGCTATGAAAATTCTGAAAGAACAACAAGAAATGGGAAATGAAGAGCTTAAAGTCATCATCTCCCACTAGAGATTCAAATGGAATAATCAGAGCTTGAGTTTTGTTGGTGTACTACAACTCTTTCCTTTGATCTAATTAAGGCTTTGGGACTTGTTTATTGTGCATAGAATAAATAGAAACGTTGAAAGACTTTTACACTTTCATCTTTTCTTCATTTAAGACGCCAACTATATTTATGAACTTGTCATGCAGCCACAATAGATTGATCAACTTATTCAATACCGGTAGTTGATTCAGAAAACGCAAGTCATTGTAACCGGTTGGTTTGAGTATTTTGTTGATCAACTAACTTAGACGGTATTTTGGTACAATCGACTAGATTGTAATTTTAAATCATTTTTGGAAATTCAATGAAATCAACGAGTATTTGATCGATTGATTTTGACATTCTTAGGAATCAGCGATCTCCCATCTTGTTCCTGCTTCCGCATTACTGTTTTAAATCAATTGTGATACAGGGAATATTAGGAACTCATTAGCTAACTCTTGGAACGAACCCTATGCCTCCACATTTCCCCATAAACCTGTCGGACGATTCTCCGATGGAAGCATCCTCACCGATTACCTTGGTACAATAGATTACTTGCATCCTCTACCAAAACAGAGTGTTCGATACGCACTAGTGGACACCGCGAGGGAAAACTTGTAGTTTCTTTCTCTTTCTTAATTCTATCAAAATTTGTCTAATTCTCTCTTATCATATGTGTCGGTATAGTTAAGGAATCACCGTACATCACATTCTTTTAAAATTGAACTCCGTTGATAATGATTTTTAACACCAGAATTCAGAGATCAACATGAGAAGCAGTGAATTGGTACTTAATCTTTTGTATTATCAAACTAAAATATGAATTTTTTGAAATTAATCTCTAATAAGTTGAAATTGGGGGGAAAAAATGGAAAAATTTATATATACTATACTTTGAGATTCCACTTTCAATATTGACAAACTTGAGGATTTCTTTCAAAATTCAGGTCATAAATAAAATAAAAAAAATAGAAAATCTCTCTCTCTCTCTCTCCATTGAATACAGAAACCACATCCATGTTTGAAAGAATTCGTGAATTTTGATAAGGTTTTCCTTGTCTGAGCCAATCTCTTCTCATGACATGGCAATTCGAGCCAACCTCAACGAATTCGATTTCAGTATCAAATTTGTCAATTTAATTTTGGTTCTTCAATTTTTTATGGAACAAGGAACATGAAAGTCTTTGGAACTTCATTTGTCGAAAATGACAGGTTTGTGGAGAAGTCCGAGATAGACTCGTGGAGAAGCTAGTATATAAATATTGTACTTATTGTATAAATTTAACCGGAATCAAGACTAATCGAGCGGGTGCAGCTTGTTGTGTCTATTGTGTAACGATATGATCCAGATGTACTGACACCATGCACATTGAAAATTAGGAAGCAAAAAAAGCATTTTGAATAGTTCAAACGATAAGCTAGAGAAGAAAGGGGCAAATTTGGTATTTTAAGGTTTTTTTTTTTTTTTTTTGTGGTGATATTAAAATTAAATTCATTTTTTTGATTTTGTGATGATATTGGTAATAAATTAATTTAATTGTCGTANCTATCGCAGCCGCTGCACTTCGGCTGCACATTGTAAATATTTCATTTAATAGTAAGATAGTTAGAAATTAGAAAATTTTAGTATGATTCTAAGGACTTTAAACGTCCACTCCCGTGAGTTGTGTTTTTGTTCCGAAGTCTATTACATGGGGTATTAGTCTTTCAAACATTTTTCAAGTTTTCTAGTGTTCGTCCATTGAACTAGCCATGGTAATTTCTTGTTATCAGCAATTGTAATTTCTAACTTTAAAGCAATCAATGATCAAGTTATGTTCAATGCATTTCAATTTTATGTTGCAAGTTTTCTTTAAATTGTAAACAAATTTCTTTTGTCCCGAAACGACCGAGAGAATGCGGAAGGTAGTCTAGAGGAAGAGATTACTGCCGCAAGGTGTTCCTTTCTATGCTAAAAAGAAAGACAACCCGCAAAAGTTGGTATCAGAGCAGTGACTCAAGACCCTCGATAAGAAAACTATGGATCCAATTGAATCGTACACCACAGAGGTGGTAGATCCTCAAAAAGAGGAATACGAAACAGCGCGTGGATGCGCTTGAGATGACAATTGCTAGGTTGTCCTATGCCGCGGATAGTCTCGATGAAAGAGCCAAAGCGGCAGCTGCGAAGATTCGTGAATTAAACATCTAGTTGGATGAAAGCTAAAAGCCTTGCGCAACAATGACTCAAGCTATTGCTACCATACTTGATCTGCATGATGAGATGAGAGTGTTGGGAGCTAAGTTACTAGTGCTTCAACGTGCGGTTGACAATGGGCAAGCCACCGCACAAGAGCCTGTTCATAGGTTTAGAATTCTAGAACCGTGTACCAATGGAGGGGCATACGATACTAAAGAAGTTGAGAACTTCTTGTTCGATATAGAACAATACTTTCTTGCAGCTTCGATCCAAGACGAAGCGAGAAAGGGTACAACAGCTACCATATATCTTGGTGGGGATGCAAAGCTATGGTGGCGGACGAAGTATACTGATATTCAGACCAACAGGGTCCCAATAGATTCTTGAGATCTTCTCAAGGAAGGAATCAGATCTCAGTTTTTCCCAGAGAATGTGGAATATGAGGCACGTCGGGCCTTACGAGAACTGAAACACACAAGCTGTGAAAGCCTCTTCAGGACATATACTGAATATTCGAGATATGTCGAAAAAGGAAAGTTGTTCACCTTCATGCAAGGGTTGGAACCGTCTTCAGAGACAGAAGGTCACTGATTTGAGCGCGACTATGGGAGCTGCTGAATGTTTAGTGACTATCAACTAGAATCGAGAGAGGATCGACCTTCGGGAAAAAATCAGTCTATTGGAGGTGGAAATAGACCTCATAAACCCAGTTCGAGCTCAAATGGGGGAGAGCGTTACTTTCAGAATCGGGGATAAGCCTACNACTCAAATGGGGGAGATCATTTCTCTTAGAATCAGGTAAGAGTCTATCAAGACAACCGTCAGGGTAACAACTTGAACCAATGAAAAACATAAGAGTGCAATTCTGATGCCAGTCCTAAATTGAAGTGCTTTTTATGTAAAGGACCCCATAGAGTGGCGGGGTGTCCTCAGAAACAGATGGTGGATGCATATTACCAACTAGCAAGTGGTGGATCGAGTTCAAAGAAAGATGCCCCACAAGCTAGCTGTCATGGCGAGACTGACTCTGAAGAGGACGAGGATGTATTTTGTGCATTCTCGCATTGGTGCAATACAATATCGTACCGAGCTACTAAAAGGGATGAAGTTCCCTCGAAAGAGTAGAAGATGAAATAATCGAAGGCTCGCATTTGTAGGGCGAAAAGCCTAATGTACATTGATGTGAAGATAAATGGGAAGCCTATCAGAGCTCTGATAAATATCAGTGCTACCCACAACTATCTCACAAGTTTCGAATTAGAGCGGCTCTGACTTGTTCTGGAAAGAGGTAAGAGAAGGTCAAAGAAATTAACTCCGTTGCTCAACCAATAGTGGGAGTAGGGAAATCTGTGTCGATCAAAATAGGTCCCTTCGAAGGAATGATGAATTTTTCAAAAGTTCGGATGGATGATTTCAAACTTATTTTGGGATTGGAATTCATTCAGGATACAAGGACCGCAGTGTTGCCATATTTCGACTCGTTAATGATGATGGATAGTAAGTCGTGCATTATCCCCACACAAGCTGGGAAATACAAGAGAGAAGGGTATCTCGGCCATGCCACTTAGTAAGGGTTTCAAGAGGAATGAACCCTCATTTTTGTGCACTATTCCAAAACATATCACAGGGTTTATTAAGGAAGTTGATGACATCATGTCGGATGAGTTACCAAAAAAATGACAACAGATAAAAAAGTCTGCAGAGCTGAAGTGACCTACCCTTAAATTGAAAAGATCCGAAAAGAATGTTGCTGAAGAGATTCTTGGCCATCGAACTAGTCGAGCCTCTAGAAAATATATTCAAGAGTACTTGGTCAAATGGAGCAGATGCAATAGTGAGCAGAATAATTGGGCAAGCGAAGAAGACCTTGAATTCTTCAAACGATTAATTGAAGTATATCATTCGTTGATGGCTCCGAGGATGTCGCCAAAATAAATAGGATAGGATTTCACAGACCGCATGTTTACTTCAGCCCCGTGACCCTATCGCAGCCACAGTTTGCCTAACTTCGGTCACATATTGTAAAATAGTTAGAAATTAGAAAATTATAGTATGATTTTAGAGAATTTAAACGTCTACTACCGTCAGATGGATTTTTGTAGCTAAGTCTATTATAGGGGGTATTAATCTTTCAAACAATTTCAAGTTGCACTTCGGCTGCACATTGTAAATATTTCATTTAATAGTAAGATAGTTAGAAATTAGAAAATTTTAGTATGATTCTACGGACTTTAAACGTCTACTCCAGTCAATTGGGTTTTCATTCCGAAGTCTATTATAGGGTGTATTAGTCTTTCAAATATCTTTCAAACTTTCTAGTGTTCGCCCCCTGCACTACCCATTATAATTTCCTATTTTCATCAATTGTAATTTCTAACTTTCAAGCAATTAATGATAAAATTATGTTCAATGCATTTCAATTTTATATTGCAAGATTTCTTTAAATTGTAATCAAATATCTTTCATCCCAAAACGATCAAGAAAAGGCGGAAGGTAGTATAGTGGAGGAGATTACTGCCACACGGTTTTCCTTTCTGTGCTAAGAAGAAACGCAACCTGTGAAACCTTGTGTGGTTTTTGACTAACATTTGATCATGGCCACAGAATATGTGTTTTTCAGCCCCTTGACCCTATCGCAGCCACAGTTTGCCTAACTTCTGTCACTTATTGTAAAATAGTTAGAAATTAGAAAATTTTAGTATGATTCTACGGACTTTAAACGTCTACTCCATTCAATTGGATTTTCATTCCGAAGTCTATTATAGGGTGTATTAGTCTTTCAAACACCTTTCAAACTTTCTAGTGTTCGCCCCCTGCACTACCCATTATAATTTCCTATTTTCATCAATTGTAATTTCTAACTTTCAAGCAATTAATGATCAAATTATGTTTAATGCATTTCAATTTTATATTGCAAGATTTCTTTAAATTGTAATCAAATATCTTTCATCCCAAAACGATCAAGAAAAGGCGAAAGGTAGTACAGTGGAGGAGACTACTGCCACACGGCTTTCCTTTCTGTGCTAAGAAGAAAGGCAACCTGTGAAACCTTGTGTGGTTTTTGACTAACATGACTAGTACCGGTGTCTTATACACAAATTGTGACTATGGCCCATTTAATTAAATTATATGTCACAAAATTTAATCAGACGTCACATGTGATCTATAATATATGACCTGGTTGTGACATGTGACCTATGATTAGTGACATGGGAACTATAATCATATTTATGCCTAGTTGTGACTTGTTATGAATACAAAATGTGGCATGTGATCCGTGACATATAACATGTGACCAATGAGCATGTGACCTGTGGTAGGTAACATTTTACAAGATATATCTATAACAAGATCAAATCTAATATGACCTGTTTAAATTACAAGAACCTTACATGTATAAAATTTTACCAGCAACATGAGCAAACTAAGTGAATTGGGGGGT